CATTCCACAGTAAAATTATACAGCTCGAACGCCGATTAATCGCCTCTTTCCATAAAGATTCTGCCGACCGATTGTACGAATTCTATGACTTTGTAATTATTCGACGTCAAAGTATATGTAGATTTAGGGATGTTTGTAGCGATCTATCGGTTGAACTGAGACAAAGAGCTTACACATTTTGTATAGTCCTCATTTTAAAAACTTGTCTGAAGTTAAATTAATATATTTTAATATATCTCGTAACTCTTTAGTAAAAAATATTCAATATGAATTATAGTTGTGGAATGACATCAATATAAGAGTAATGACGACGTATTGGTATTTAAAGTTCCTAAAGCATTTCTAATCATATGGAAGTAAATCATAAAGGTCCTATGGAATGGAGTAATGCTCCTATGGCTCAAGCTCGCCCAATATCGACCGATACGTGAACAAATATTTATATTCAGTCGAGTCATTATTTCTAATGAAAAATTGCGCCAGATCTCTGAATTATACGCAAACAGTATGGCATAAGGTATAAAGAGTTCAACTTAAACTCCTTCCACCTTATTCCCCAATTGTTAACCGACTTCCAAATTCTTATTTAACCTAGTAAAACTGCAATTCTTATTTCGCTATTAATGTTAAATTTTTATACATTAACACCAACATGAGGTACAGAACACCCAAATAAAAGAATCGGGATTTAATATTGGGTCCACTTCAATTTTCATACCCTCAGCCATATTCGGCCAAAACGTGCCTCATCGAAAAAACGGTTTTTTTACCCTACGTCTCTTTGGGCCAAATCCGTTTCAGGATATTTGAAGTAGTCTAAGGATGTCCGTCTGGCTGGCTGGTGCCCACGATAACTCTCGAAGGGAGTATCCGATTTGATCCAAACTGGTATGTCAAAATATTATTATCAAACTTAGAACCACTTCGGAGATGGGTACAGATCGCAATATTTTTATCGATGTTAGGTCAGGTGTGAAAATGGAATATATATGGGCCCACTCCAATAAGTACCCACAACATGTTGAATAATCGTCTCTCTTATAAAATGTTAAATAAGAATTCACACATGAATAAGGAAACTATGGGCCCAATCATTGTGGTACCTTCCCCACAAAAGTTGAATATTTTGACTATCATTAATTTGCATGAGATCACATGTCTCATAAAATGTGTAGAATGTATTCGAGGCCAAATCTGTATATTTGTAGTATTTATATTAGACTTAGGTCAGATACGAAATGGACTTTCTCCATAAAGAATCAACAGTTTGAATAATCATAATGCATGGATGGGATATTTATCTGTCGGCAAAACCTACCGATACTAGTTTACATGTTGCCCTTGAAATCGGTTTATGAAAAATTTTAAAAACGCAGTAAAGTCGATGATAACTGTTTCTTTGTAAATGGTTATTAACTTTTGTGAGTTTCAAATTCCAAATTAATAAAAAAAATCAAAAAAAGTGGGTAAAATACTACATACTAAACATTCAATAACAATAAGCCAATTCCAGCAGTTTTCTAAAATCATCAGAATACCGAGTATCGGGAAGTACCGAAACATTGGGGCTATAACAAAACGTGAACTTATATAGGCAATGTACTGTCACAGAAGGTATAACCCATAACGAATTGTAAACAATTCTGTTTGGAAATGAACTATCAAACTTCAAAAAATTCCATTAGAGAATGTTTGCTGTAGCAAATCATGGAACTATAGTGAGATTTCATCGCTGAGCACAAAAAGTGAATCCTCGGCCATTTACCGAAGATTCTTGTTGTGGTATGTCGTTCGGATTCAGTTTTCGCACCAACACCAGCCTAAAACCTGAGTCCTTCTGCAAGATTTACCACTTTGCTGAGTAACAAAGATCCAATAGCTACAAACAGCGGTGAATCGTTAATTGATGGTCATCATTAACACTGGCCGATGCAACTGCGTTATGTTCTTCAGTTTGCACTCCATGTAAGCGTGTTGGTGGTTTAATGTCCAAAAATTTGGTGCGAAATTTAGTCACAATAGACCGAATAGCAGCTTCAGTGGGTTGATTAAACTGACCTCAAATGGAAGAAATGCGTGATGAACTTTCAATTCATTGACTTGCAAGCGTTGTTCGTTTGTAAGATAAGCTAAACAAAAGATGTACGACAGTTAAAACAAGTAAAAAAACATTAAGTTCGGGCGGGCCAAACTTTTAATACCCTCCACCTTAGGGTAAAATAAACATTAGAAGAAATGTGGCAAAAACCATTAAAATGCCGATTATGGGGAGGTACCGTAATATGGGGGCTACACCAAAACGTGAACCTATAATTACAATGTTTCGCCACACGAACTAGGACCCATTATGGCCCACAAATACCAATTTTTAGACAAATCAGTGAAAAAATGTGGCAAAAACCATCAAAATACCGAATATCGGGAGGTACCTTTATATGGGGGCTATATCAAATAATGGACCCATGCATGCAATGTTTCGCCACCGAAGCTGGAACCCATTATGACCAACAAATACCGATTTTCAGACAAATCCGTGAAAAAATGTTGCAAAAATCATCAAATTACCGAATATCGGGAGGTCCCGTTATATGGGGGCTATACCAAAACGTGGATCTATAATTACAATGTTTCGCCACACGAACTAGGACCCATTATGACCCACAAATACCAATTTTTAGGCAAATCAGTGAAAAAACGTGGCAAAAACCATCAAAATACCGAATATCGGGAGGTACCGTTATATGAGGGCTATACCAAATCATGGACCCATACATGCAATGTTTCGCCACCGGAGCTGGAACCCATTATGACCAACAAATACCGATTTTCAGACAAATCCGTGAAAAAATGTTGCAAAAATCATCAAATTACCGAATATCTGGAGGTACCGTTATATGGGGGCTATACCAAATTTTGGACCCATACATGCAATGTTTTGCCACACGCTCAGGGACCTGCTATGACCTACAAATACCAATTTTAAGACAAATCCGTGAAAAAACGTGGCATAAATCATCAAAATACCGAATATCGGGAGGTACCGTTATATGGGGACTATACCAAAACGTGGACCGATATATCTCATTTTCAATACCAACCATCCTAGACACAATGCAAATAGCTCTGCTAAATTTTGGAGCCCTACGTCAAATAATGTGGGCTGTATCGTGATTTCAACAGACAGACAGACAGACAGACGGACAGACAGACGGACACCGTTAAATCGACTTAGAATTTTATGCTGATTATGAATATATATACTTTATGGGGTCTAAGACGAATATTTAGGGATGTTACAAACGGAATGACAAAGTTAATATACCCTCCTTTCCAAGGTGGAGGGTATAAAAACACGAAACGTGCGTGAGCTGGTTACAACAGAGTTGCCAAAAATGTAATGTAAAATGTAATCATCCTTTATTCTAGAGGCAGCTTTATTCTACCTCCTTTTATTGTACCATAGGTGTATCAATCATGTCCTATAAACAGGTCACATAGAAAGCCCATACGACTACTAATTTTTCTGTGAATATACGTTTTTTTATTTTCCTAATATAACGGTTCCTCCCGATATTCGGTATTCTGATAATTTTAGCCACATTTTTACCGGAGTTTGTAATGTGTGGCAACAGAAGGCTGTAAGAAAGCGACGATTTCTTATATGACTCATAGCGGTACCTCCGAATATTCAGCATTTTAGCCACATTTTTCAACATAATTTTTCCATATTTTATCAATTAAACTCACAATAGATACCACAACTCTGTAGCTAGAAATCGGATCAATCCAGTTTACTGTTTTTTAAAGATTTTTTACCAATCGATTTTACTGGTAAAAATATAAAATACTCAATCCCAACAATTTTATTTTTGAATGTTGTTTCTACCTCCGAACTTAACACTTTTTTACTTGATATATTCTTGTTTTTATATCCTACACCACATAGTCATTTTTGTGAACAAAATGCAGGTCGCATTTATTATCCAATTGAGAAGAAATTTTTCAAACAATATTTGTTTGGCCCAAAGAGAAATCCTATTGAAATTGGTGAGAATCGGTTCAAATATAGATATAGCTACCATATACTTCAACCGATTTCGTTTTAATTCTGCACCAAATGGCCAACATCAGTCCAAATGACCTGAACTTTGGCACATCCGGCCGCATTCGGTCTAGAAGAACGTGCACCAGATTTGGAAAATCAGTTCAGATATTGCTATAGCTTCCATACATTTGTTTCATCCGATTTGGTGCTACAGATACAGCTCGAAAATAGCTATGCCGAATTTTATCGAGATCTCTTCAGATTTTTATATAACTTCGATATACATCTACATCCGATTTAACAGTTATTGTTCACCATATATGTAATATCAGCCCAAATTGGATAAATTTCTTTAAATTCAACGGAATTTTTCCAATCTGGTATATCTATTGCTCCAATAAATATTTTTTTTGTTATGGGAGCTCTACTCAATACATATAGTGGTGTAGGGTCGGCCTACCCGACTTTTGAGTTTTCATTACTGTTTTTTTTTTTTTCAAATGATAATTATAATGGATTTTTTAATAGCAGATATCCTGATTTCCTGCGGTAAGAACATTTGAGATTGTGTACTCCTATGTTATGGTCTTAAACAATTTTTGCTTAATATTTAAGAAATTTGCAAATATTTTATTTAAATGTGTTCATATACGTGCGTAAAAACTTATTATATCGCTTTGATAATAATGATATCACCGTCTTATAGACCTTTAACGATTTCTGTGACATGTCGTTTATTAAAACAACGTCGCGTGGGATTCACGACAACACCACGAAATTTCGAAAATGTTATAATTAATATTTCTTTCAGACTCTCCAGTAACATACTGTAAAAATTAAAATTCCGCGATTGAGGCACATACAAACATTTCTATTTATGTACATATACAAGAAGATAGAAAACAACAATTTTTAATAAAGAAACAAATATAGTTTAAAAAATATATTTTTTTTTACAATTCTATACCAACATATGTATATAATGAATAACATTACTGTGACGTGCAATGTTTTTGGGGTCCCCATCAATTTTACAACTAAATCAACAAAACAACTAACAATATCTATATACATAACTCTTTTTCTTAAATATTAACCATAAAATTCAGCAGCCGTTGGTAATTCGCCGATTATGAACGTGGCTGGCAGATTAGCAAATATCTTTGATAGGCGTTCGGTTACAATATTCTCAATGGCTGATTTGATGGCAGGTCGTAATATTTCATAGAACTCGTGCCAATTTTCATTGAACACAACGTGAGCACTCTCCTCTAAAACTTTTTGTCCATGGAAGAGGTTGTCCAAACGTATTCCGAATCCACCAACTTCTTTAATTTCCGCATGTAGTTTATCAATATCCATGAATGTCAGGCCGTCTTCATCGCGTAATTTAAAACGAATAAGTAACTTGATTTCAACATGCTCTGAAAATGAAATCAACCAAAAGACATTCTATGTGGAAAAATCCAAATTAGGGTAAAAAAAATTGAACTTACCAGCCCTTATAAATGCTTTTCCATTTCCGTTTAAGGCCAAACTCAAAATTCGGCCAGTAATTGTGTAATCAGAATGAATATTTAATTTAGGCACCACCAATGTCACCTTGGCAAGTAAATCGTTCAAATCAAAACTAAAATTAAAAAGAGTATTGTATATTTTCATAAATTTTCAATTAGTTTGTTCTACATACGTACCTTACATTTTCAACGCGTGTTTCTTTCAGGCCTTTCACTTCAAGATTGTGAAGATTTGCATTCATCGAGACGGGATGTCTGAGATCTTGTTCGATACTAATTCGTTTAACAAACAACGGATCTAAGTCGCCAACGTATTTTGGACTGAGCAAACCTGTAAGAATAAAATTACAATTTTTTGTTTTTTATACTCTCCACCATAGTATGGAGGGTATTTAAAGTTTGTCATTCTGTTTGTAACACCTCGAAATATACATTTTAAATGTATATTATGTCTGCAGGACTTTACGTATTGAAAATGGGCCATGTAGGTCAACGTTTTGGTATAGCCTCCATATAACGGTACCTCCCTATATCCAGTACTTTGATCATTTTAGCGACATTATTTTCCGAAATTGTTTCAAGTTTGGTATTTGAAGTTCGTAACGGATAGTACAGCCTACGACATAAAATGGTCTGTACAGGTCCACGTCTTCGTAAAACCCCCATATAACGGTACCTCCCGATATTCGGTATTTTGATAATTTTCAGCGGAATTGTTTTAAATTTGGTATTTGAAGTTCGTAATGCATACTACAGCTTATGACACAAAATTTTCTGTGCAGGTCCACGTCTTCATATAGCCCCCATATAACGGTACCTCCCGATATTCGGTATTTTGATGTTTTTAACTACATTATTCACCGATTTTTTTCAAGTTTTGCATTTGAATATTGTAATGGCTAATGACAAAAGTTGCCTATGCAGATCCACGTCGTCGTGCAGACTCTACCGTTCGGTATTTTTAAGATTTTAACAGAATTTTTAACGAATTTTATTTTTTTTTTTTAAATTGCCAAATTCGTTTCAAATGGTGGAGTGCATTCAAAGTTCGGCCAGGCCGAACTTAAAACTTTTTATACTTGATTTATCTACGAGTTTAAAATGTTACCTGTAAATATATTGAATCCCGATATTTATATATTCTAAGTCGATTTATGCATGTCCGTCTGTCTGTCCTTGTATTTTTGTAAACAAAGTACAGGCCGCATTTACTGTCTGATTGAGACGAAATTTTCCACAAATTAGAGGATGAGATAAAAAAAATGTAACCTACTTCAGACTGATGTTATTTCTAAGCCACTCGTCCGACAACTGGTAAAATTATTACAGTGACAGCTCATTGTACTGTTTATAAGCTTACAAAAGCATTTTGGTGAGAATTTTCCAGAATTCGTGATGGAATTCAAGCGTGATAGTGTGATTTCTTTGTATTTGGCTGAAAAACCACAAGTGGGTATCATTCGAGCACTCCAGCATTTAAATGTGAATAAATCTTTTGTGTCTCGTACCATCGCTCGTTACCGTGATACGGGTAGCGTAGCCCGACGTCAAGAAAGTGGACGGAAGAAAACAGCAACATCAGCAGAAATGGTTCGAAAAGTGAAGAAACGACTTGATCGAAACCCGCGTCGTAGTGGCCAAAGAATGGCTCGTGAGCTGAACATATGACAATATTTCATTCGGCAAATATTGAGAAATGAGCTCGGGGTAAAGTCATTGAAATTCGAAAAAGTGCAAGAACTTTACTTGCCAAAGATGTCAGCTGAAAATGTGCACCTTTGTTTGGCCACTAGAACTCAAGCGCCTCACATGGTGATGGTGTGAGCCAACATAAGAGCCGATGGTCGCTCTCCGCTCGTATTAATCGACCGTGGTATCAAAATAAATACCAAATATTATCGCTAAAATATTCTGGAAGGTGTATTAAGGCCTTGGGCACGAAAATATTTTGGGCAGACCTTGGACATTTCAACAGGACTCAGCACCATCGCACTCAGCACGCGCCACCCTAGAAGGGTTACAAAATGAGGTTCCTCGCTTCATTTCCAGCGCACAATGGCCACCAAAATCTCCGGATTCCAATCCGTTGGACTATTGTGTCTGTAGTATTTTGGAAAGCAAGGTTGGCACTGAAAAATACTAAAGTGTCGTTCACCTCAAGCAAGTGCTTCGCCGGGAATGGACCAAAATACCGAAAAGCATTCGGGCAGCGTGTGATGGTTTCGTTAGTCGTTTAAAGGCCATAATTCGTGCCAAATGTGACCAAATCTAAACTTATTCTAAAATTTGATGCTATTTCCGACATTTTTTGCTTTCATTCAAAAAAATTAAAAAAAAAAATGTAAAAATTATAGTGTTTGACTTTGTTGCAGTTTTTTTTTATATAGATATATACATATATGTATACTTATGATCATTATAAATCCAAGATGGCGGCCTCTACAAACTGGCGGATAAGGTAGGTTTTATCAATACCATCAATTGGGTATCAAATTAACGTGCTCAATCAGTAGAATACAATGTACTATATAAAATTAAAATCCAAGATGGCGGCCTCTGCAAAATGGCGTATAACGTAGGTTTTATAAATCTCATCAATTGAGTTTCAAATAAAAGAGCTCAATCAGTAGAATACAATGTACTATATAAAATTGAAATCTGTTGACAAGAAAAATACAGTGCTCTATACAACTTCAATATTTTAATTTTAGAAATTGCATCCTTAATTCAGGTATCTGATTAATCCAGCCTGAATCCACCACCCAAGTCAAGATTTTATATCGTGTTGAGGATCGTCACTAGCGGTACATCACCCAAGTTAATGTGAAATGTTAAAACGCGCCGAGAACTGTATGGCATTAGGGTGGATACAAATGATGTGTCGTTAGCGTTTTCCCATCAAGACTCAAGCGCATCTTGTTGTACATAGCCTTGCCCCTTTATTGGACCTCTAGGGGGTCGACCGTTTAAATGTCCAGTACTCGTGGAAACAAAATGGTAAAAAAATATAAAAATACAAGCACAAATAAAACAGAAACTGCAACACAACGGTATCACAGGTATGTCATCACTGTCCGCAAAACTATTTGCGAATAATGAGGTAACAATGGCATCAACAGATTTTTTGATTGTCGACGAGATTTCCATGGTGTCCTATCAAATGTTATGCATGATGGACGCTCGATTAAGGCAAATTAAGAACTGTGAAAATGAGTTTTTTTTTTGAGGGAGTAAACGTATTACTTCTCGGTGATCTTTTACAACTGCCTCCTATAAAACGATCAGGAGCACCTGTTTTTAAAATCATCATCAACCAGCTACACATCTCAGGCGTTCATTCACGCTTTGTTATTTTTTTTTATATTTTTTGGTTTTTAGTATCTTAAACATTGCAATGTATGTTTAAGATTAAACGGTTTAACTTAAAAAGTGTTTTACCCATTTTTATTGGTAATTAAAAGTTTTAAGTTCGGCCGAATCGATCTCTTCATGCTCTCAACCGTTATGTCTATGAAAGTAAAATGAAATAATGAAACATGTTGAATATGTTAGCTTAGTATATCAATCCGTTTTAATTAAAATAACTCAAAAAGCGAAACCCATATTATCATCTTATTTAATTGGAAATTGTGACAAAAACCGTCAAATTACCGAAAATCGGGAGCCACCGTTATATGTAGGCTATACCTTTAATGGATCGGAATCAAACATTTTTACAAAAAGAGACAGACCTAAAGGGAAGTCCAATTGTCAAGTATAAGCTAATTTTGTTGGAAATTGTGGCAGACTTATCAAGAACCTCAAATGCTCAAAGTTTCAGCTGATTTGGTTGGAAATTCTGACAGAAACTTTCAAACTACCGAAAATCTGGAGGTGCCGTTCGTTATATACTATATTTAATAATGGACCGATAACGACTATTTTAAATACCTAAACATAATATCAATTATGATGCCAAAGTGTATAGCGCTGCATAAAATAGTGTGGACTCTATTGTGACTTCCAGAGAAGGACTGACAGACAGGCATACATACTTGGCTAGATCGACATCGATTCTAATGCTGGTTAAAAGAAAATCAGTGTAATTTTTCATATTTTACTACATTATGACACTTCAGTTAATCGATCTTTGGTGGGGACGAAATATTCCACATTAACTCCAGATCTAATGACAGCAGCAAGGCCCATTAAGAAGATCGTAATTGAAATACCATCATTCTAACATTGTTATTGGAATACCATAATGCTGTCAAAATATTTGTTCACATTTTTAAACGTTTATTTCCCAAATTCATGCAATTTTACAGTACGGATGAAATCAGGTTGTCTTGTTTGATGGATTAATAGATCGGCCATGGTTGCAAATATATTAAGCTAGGCTAAATTCGCCTTAAAGCCTTGAAACCATGCTCTATTTAAACAAATCAAAGAGGCTGATAATTAATAATATAGGCTCCTTATGTGGAAGCTATCGAGAAGAGTCGGTTGCTTCGAGAGAATTTTCGCATCTAATACAAGTATTATGATGTGCGGTGTTTCAACAAAGTCGAACTCAATTTACGTTTAATAAATAAATTCGTAAGTGAATCGCTTTCAATCAGACAGATGAAAATACAGTGCATTGCGGGGAGAATAAAAGTTATTTTAAGCAATTGCGCATTATTAAACCCTAGCTTAGCATTTACATACGCCCTCAATATTATAGACTTTGTATTTCTGAATCAAACACCTACATAATGGTCAGGTTTATTATAAACTACTGATTTTAGAAAATATAACTATATATATTTGACTGTCTCCACAAAATGATAATTAAATTTAGTTATTTGAATAATTACCTTCTTGCCATTCTGTAAAAAATGCTTGAAAATTTCTTCCCAAGCATCGATTGAACTCCAAATCATCCGTACGGCACTGTGTTATAAAATCAGCTACAATATATTTAAAAAATTATGTATTTTATTAAACAATTAGCATTGAATATTATTTATTTATTTACGTTTTGTGATAAGCGTCTTTCCATTGATCACAACGGCGGTTAACAGTGTTGTTGCCACGGTCACAAGTAAACTTGAACTCGATTCCAGTTTCATGATTAATTTGATCTTAAAAAACAAGAACAAAAAGCTTTTGAATGATTGATGCACATAAACAAATTGAAAGAGTCGTTCTGTCTTAGGCGTGAGACGCTAATAAGCGTTCAAAATTCGTTATCTACTGGTGTATGCAATTTCTGAAATACTGATCTGATTTTTTGTTTTGATAATCGTTTATCCAAACACTCATTTCGGAATAATTCAAACAGCATCTGAAATTGTATCGAAAACAAAACCAGTTTCTCCAGAATCTTCGTTTAGAATACAGGAGTTGTTATTCAAAATGTGTTGTGTATTACTTACCCTACACTAGGTCGGCCGTCACAGGCAAGATACTGATGGTTTGACGTTCCTTTTTAGATCCTTGGGCTTTTAACTCGGCCTGCCATTCAGTTATTGCAGATTTCACTTAAAATTCATACTATGGCATTTGAGTGGAATTTTTTGCCGAACGGCATGTTTTTGAATAAAATATTTATTTTTATTTTGATGAGATGTTTCATTGTCAGTATTGAAGGTGACTTCTGTTCTGGGGACCATCCTAAGCAACACTTCAATATAAAATACGACAAATGAGCTAATGTTGTGTATATTCTACCCCGTTCTTCTGTTCTGCTCAGAAGTCAACAAAAAAGTAAAACGTGTGCGTTGACTTAATGAAATATACAAAATATATACACATGTGACTCTGTACAGTATCGGACAAAACAGTTGCAACTGATATGTAAAATTTTGTGTAAGGTCGGTTAAAATTCTATGGGATAGTCTAATTTTGAGTAAGTTTTATAGTTTTAAATCTCTTGCCAAAATATGGAAAATAGTATCGAGCGTAGTATGGTTAATGAAATAATTGACCCATGTCCACGTGCCTGTAATACTACTTATGATCAACATGTGCTTTCTAAGATGTTCAAATTATTATCATAATACAGAAAAAATCTTCTGTGAACAAGAAAGGAGATATGAAGTTGATAACAACACGATGCATTGAAGAAGACACGTTGCTCGTTTATGCACTACTACATATTTTTAAACAAATCCGTGGATAAGTCTGGCAAAAATCATCCATGTACCGTTAAATGAGGGATATACATGATATATATCTATAAAAGAGGAAAATGTTTGTATGTTTGTTTGTTTGTTTGTAATTTATGGACTCGAAAACCGCTGAATAGATTTTCCTGAAAATTTCCATATATACTGCAACATCGCCTGAAAATAACATAGGCTATATACATTTTTGAATTTCCACTTGGAACCGGAGATATAGCATCAGAATCGGAGGTACCTCCCAAAAATTTTGATTTTATATGCACATATCTATTGATTGGTTGAAGATACAGTCTCCAAATTTGGAATACGTAACGGAATTTGGAACAAAAATAAGTTTGTCAAATTATATTGTAATCGGTTGAGATTTGGATATAGCTCCCATATATATTTTCGACCGATTTCGTTCATTTGATGCCTCATACACAATATGAATGTTCGACTCCAATGAAATTTGGAATATGTGACGGGATTTGATCTGAAAATAAATTTGTCAAATTATATTGAAATCGGTTCAGATTTGGATATAGCTCCCATATACATTTTCGGCCGATTTAATGTATTTGGTGGACCAAACACGATATGTATTTCCAATTGTAATGAAATTTAAAATAAGTAACGGAATTGGGAGCCAAAATGAATTTGTCAAATTAAATTGAAATCGGTTCAGATTTGGATATAGCTCCCATATATATTTTCGACTGATTTAATGTATTTCATGCACCAAACAAGCTATGTATCTCTAATTTCAATGAATTTTGGAATGTGTAGCGGAAATTAAAACAAATATACATTTGTCAAATTATATTAAAATCGGTTCAGATTTGGATATAGCTCTCATATATATTTTCGACCGATTTCATGTATTTTATGCACCATACACGATATGTATGTTCGATTCCAAAGAAATTTGGAATATGTATTTGGATGGATTTTGATTAGAAAATAAATTAGTCTAATTATATCAAAATCGGTTCAGATTTGGATATAGCTCCCATATATATTTTCCGCCGATTTCACATATTTGATGCACAAAGCACGATACGTATTTCCGATTCCAATGAAATTCGGCATGAGTGGCTAAATTTGGTACAAAAATAAATTTGACAAATTATATTCAAATACGCTCAGATTTGATTATAGCTTCCATATATATATATATATATATATATATATATATATATATATATATATATATATATATATATATATATATATATATATATATATATATATATATATATATATATATATATATATATATATATATATATATATATATATATATATATACTCATCCGATTTCACATATTTGATGCATCCAAAGCGAGAGAGACAAAATCTGGCACCAGAAAACATTGCCAAATTATATTGAAATCAGTTGAGGTTTGGGTATAGCTAACATATATATTTTGGCCGATTTCATACATGTTATGCACCAAACATGATACCAATGAAATTCAGAATGTGTGGGGGAATTTGGTTACAATAATAAATGTGACAAATTAATTGGAAATTAGTTAAGATTTAGATATAGCTCCCATATATATATTCTCGGCCTATTTCACATATTTGAAGCACCAATTTCAATGAAATATGAAAGGTGTGGCGGAATTTGGTGTAAAAGTAATTTTTTTAAAATTATATTTAAATCGGATCAGATTGGGATATGATTTTAATAAGAACCATTGACCCACAACGCCTTAGGCTAACACTAAAAACCAACACAACAATTGATTTGAAACCCGCTTATAACGGCGAAGTATGTTGCTATCTCGAATTCACTAATTGCAATAAAATGCCACTCAACTTCAAAAGATTGCAGTTTACTGCACGCTTGGTATTTGCTATGAAATAAATAAATCCGAAGGACAAACTCTTCGTGTATGTACGTCATTTTACTACTTTTCTAATGGTTTTGGTTATTTACGCATTAAAGTAGTGCAATATTTTTTTATAATTTTTAAATTTGTTTTTTTTTTTTTTAACCAACATATATTCGTAAATAAAATTTTGAATGCATATAAAATCAAAAGGGTAGCGAAGCGCACCGGGTTCATATATATATATATATATATATATATATATATATATATATATATATATATATATATATATATATATATATATATATATATATATATATATATATATATATATAAATTGGGAGGTACCGTTATATGACGGCTATATCAAAACGTGAACCGATGCATCTCATTTTCAATACCAACAAGTCTACATATAATACTAATGCAAATTTTAAAGATTTATGTCAAATAATGTGGGCAGTATCGTGATTTCAACAGACAGACAAACGGACATCGTTAAATCGACTCAGAATTTTATCTTGATCATAAATATATATACCTTATGGGGTCTACGAGTTATATGTATATTACAAACGGAATGACAATGTTAATATACCTTCCTTTTCAAGGTGGAGGGTATACAAATATTGGGTGAAGGTTCATGTATGGATAGTTTTTTGCAAGAATATTTTGTGTCCGTGGCGATTGGAGGCAAATTTTGTTGAAAAATAGGTAAAAAACATTTGGCCGGGCCGAACTTTATATACCCTTCACCATTACCTAAAGAAAATATTTTAATATAGAAGTTTTTGAATTCAAACTTAATACAGTTAAAAGAAAACAAGTAAAAAAGCTGTAAGTTCGGCCGGGCCGAACTTTTAATACCCTCCACCATTTGGTACAAATTTGGCAATTTCCAAAAAAAAAAACCAATAAAAATTCTGTTAAAATCTTAAAAATACCGAATGCTGACGTGGGCCTGCATAGGCAACTTTTGTCATAAATTATTACAATATTTAAATGCGAAACTTGAAGAAAAATCTGTTTATAACGTAGCTAAAATCGTCAAAATACCGAATATGGGGGGTACCGTTATATGGGGGCTATACGAAGACGTGGACCTGCACAGACAATTTTCTGGCATGGGCTGAAGTATCCATTACGAACTTCAAATACCAAATTTGAAATAATTCCGGTGAATAATGTCGCTAAAATCATCAAAATACCGAATATCAGGGGGTACGGTATATGGGGGCTATATGAAGACGTGGACCTACAAGGCCCATTTTCTGTTTTTTGCTGCAGCATCTATTACAAACTTCAAATGCCAACTTTGAAACGATTCCGGTAAATAATGTCGCTAAAATCATCAAAATACCGAATATCGGGGGGTACCGTTATATAGGGGCTATACGAAGACGTGCACCTACACAGATTATTTTTTGTCTTAGGCTGTAGTATCCATTACGAACTTCACATGCGAAATTTGAAAGAATCCCTGTAAATAATGTCGCTAAAATCATTAAAATACCGAATATCGGGGGGTACCGTTATATGGGGGCTATATGAAGACGTGGATCTACATGGCTCATTTTTTGACTTTGGATGAAGTATCCATTACGAACTTCAAATACCAAATTTGAAACGATTCCGGTAAACAATGTCGCTAAAATCATCAAAATACCGAATATCGGGGGGTACCGTTATATGGGGGCTATATGAAGACGTGGACCTGCACATATAATTTTCTGTCTTAGGCTGTAGTATCCATTACGAACTTCAAATACCAAATTTGAAATAATTCCGGTGAATAATGTCGCTAAAATCATCAAAATACCGAATATCGGGAGGTACCGTTATTTGGGGGCTATATGATAACTTGGACATACATGGCCCATTTACGAACTTTACCTGTCTACTGGGAAAATATACATGTGTGCAAAATTTTAGCCTTCTATCTCAATTTGTTCGAAAGATAGCGTGATTACAACAGACAGACAGACAGACAGACGGACAGACAGACAGATAGACAGACGGACATGGCTAAATCGTCTTAGAATTTTACGCTGATCAAGAATATATATACTTTGTTGGGTCTGACATGAATATTTCGAGGAGTTACAAACGGAATGACAAAATTAATATACCCTCCATAGTATGGTGGAGGGTATAAAAATAAAAGTTCCGTGGGCAAATGCGATCAGCGAAAAAACACATATCGGAATGTACCATTATATGGGTTATACGAATACGTGGACCTGACAAACTTAATTTACCCTCCATGGGATAGTAGAAGGCATAACAAATACTAACAAGTAGCCAAACTTTTGATACAGTTGATATATCAACTGTATTTGGTAAGGGGGTTTGGAATACGTGACAATTTTTAAATAACAAAATCCAAAAAAAAAAAATAAATCCTTTGGAAATGTTCCGTTAGACGAAAATGTTGGACGATATAGCCCAACTTTGAACTTGATCTATGTTCAGACCCAAAACGCATGTTTACCAAATTTCATACCAAATAGAGACGGACGAACATGATTAAATTGGATTAGTAAGCTACG